AGGGAAGTTTACCCAAGGCTTTAGTTTTAGCAATGTTCTGTTTACAAGCTACATGTACCACTTAATAATGAAGTATTTTTCTGAACCAAGCCTGGTTAGGTGAGAATGCTTCAGAACTGGGAGTTGGACATTGTGGACTTGACATTTTGCTAAAACTGCCTGATACTGGATTTCACCCGAGAGGAAACTCTATGGGCATTTCCAGAAACTTAGCATGGCCTCTGAGGAGCTGCAGAAAAGTTCACCAGAGGCACCAGCAGAAGTGGAGGAGCGGCAAGTCCCCCTCACGGAAGCGCTAGTGGGCGCCAGACCGAAGGATCCAACGAGGTGGCTGGCCCACTGCTGGGATCCACCGAGAGACCTGAGCATCTGGGATGACGCTGGAGGGTTCACCCCAGAGATGCCAGCCCGTCCTCGATGGTCAAGAGCCCTGGGGACAGCAACCGGAGTGACAACGCCATGGGATGAGGGGCAATGGGTGAGGAAGCTGGAAGGTGAAGTGCGTGCCCTGAGGGAGGAACTGGGCAAGCTAGGGATTATGGCGCGGCCTCCTGTGCATCCTCCCACACCCAGACAGGGGTCAGCACAGCTCGTCCGGCCCTCCCCAACCGCTCTGATGGAACGGCCGACTCTTCCCCTGCCTCTGCCTCCGTTCCAACCCCCCCACAGGCTGCGGTTGGGGAGCGGGCCAGCAGCAAGCCGCCCCACGACTGCAGCAGGAGGAAGGGGATCTATTGCGTAGATGGGGGCTAGTAGGGAAGTACAATGGAGACCCGGCACAACTGCCCGCCTTCCTGAACCAGGTGAGAATCTGCATCGGCACATATGGCCGCCTGTTTGCCAGCGATGCCTGGCGGGTGCTGTATGTATCCCACTTCCTGGTAGGCATGGCAGCTGAGTGGGTGAACGACTTGAATGAAGCGGAGGCCCCAGAACTGGGGGACTTTGACCGATTCATCACCGCCCTACGGGACCGGTTCGAGGACCAATGTGCCCGCTCGAATGCAGTGGAGACGATCAGGGAGCTGAAACAAGGGGCGCGCCCTGTGTCAGACTATGCACTGGAGTTCAAGCGCTTGGCGGCGAAGTTCCCAGACTGGCCGGAGGGGTTCCTCGTGCAGCTGTTCCAGGAGGGGCTGGACCAAAGGCTCTTCGAGAGGGCCGTGGTACAAGGGTGCCCAGAGACCTTGGCGGGATGGATCACCCACGTCTCCGTGTTGGAAGCGCAACTGGCCAGAGTCAAACCGCACGGCGTGGAGACGAGATGGTAGCCCCCTAGCGCCGCCCGGCAAACAGGGCGGAAACCGGCAAGGAAGGAGTTAACCCCCTCGGCAAGGCCGCAGGCCGCAGGGAAAGCCTGCTTCATGTGCGGCGAGAAGGGGCACTTCATGGCGGCCTGCCCCCAGAACCCAAGGCTACAAACTGCGGCGAAAGGGAAAAAAGCCAAAAAACCTGCAAAGCCGATAAAAGCCCCATGGAAAAGCATGGCAGCGAGAGCCGAAGAAGAGAGGCTGAAGATTGCCTACCTCTCTGACAGCGAGGACAATGGGGAGAGCGCCAGCGAGAGGGAGGAGAGCCCAAGGCGCAACCAGCCGATCCCGAGCAAATCGATCGAGAACATCCGGGTGAGTCCGATGACGTATGAGGTAGTGATCTGTGCTCCGCGATTGACTCATCGGGCCCGGCTCACAGCATTGCTTGATTCAGGTTGCTCCCGGAGTTTGATCAGCCCTGTGCTCATCACCGGATTAAATTTAAAAGTGCACCGGCTGAAGACGCCCATAATCTTCAGGCAAGTGGATGGAACAG